AAGAATAGCCATCATTAATAAAACAACAACAGATGCTGGTGAGGATGCGGAGAAAAAGGAACGCTTCTACACTGCTGGTGGGAATGCAAATTAGTGCAACTTCTTTGGAAGACAGTGTGGCGTTTTCTGAAAGAACCTCAAATTGACCTTCCATATGACCCAGCAATCCCTCTATTGGGAATATACCCAGAGGAACTCAAATCATTCTACCAAAAAGATCCTGCACATGCATATCTGTTGCAGCTCTATTCACATTAGCAAAACCATGGAACCAACCATGCTGCCCATCGAAACTGGACTGGATAAATAAAATGTGGTACATATACACAATGGAATACTATTCAGCTATAAAGAAGGACAAACATTTGGACTCTGCAGCAACTTGGATGGTTTTAGAATCTATCATACTCAGTGATCTATCACAGAAACAATAAACAGAGTACCATATGTTCTCACTCATAAGTGGACCTTCAACAATTATCATAATACTATAAGAAAGGGATTGGGAGACTGCCAGGGAAGGAAGAGTGGTAGGACTGGCAGTTGAGGGAAACTGCCAGCGAAGAAAGGGTATACTTTATCAACAGGGGCAACTGAATAATGAACATTTGTATACCAAACTGAATTGTACCCCACATTTTAAAAATATAGAAAAGAAAAAAAGTATATATATATGTATCAAAAAATTGGGAGTGATTATTCATTTTAAAAAGGACTTACATTAAAATCTGTCTAGATAAATGTCACATAGGAATGAACACTATGACTAGAACTATACAAATTCAACTGAGGAACTTCAATGAGCATATATCATTACACAAAGTAATACACCACACAAAATCATATCCTTAATAACAGCCACACTAAAAAATGTATTTTCTACTTCTCTTAGGTTCCTCAGATACAACTCTGTCAAAATCATTATTTTTTTAACTATGTTTAAAATTTTGTCAATTTACTTACTCCTTCCCCACACACTACACAAATAAACTCAGCATTTTATTATAATTTTCCCTCATACTTGCCTTCTTGAGGTAATCAATAAGAATATCTTAATGTTCATATTTCTCTCTTCACAAATATATAATTTTTTCAAACCTATATGGGTGGGTAGTTTTTTTTGTTTGTTTGAAAACAGGTTTATATAATACATATTATTTTGCATAGTCTTCTCTTTTCTACCTAAATTGTTGCATGTTTTTATTATTCAGAGGAACAAGCCATTTTTTGTGTGTGAACTTTACATTCTTGTCTTGATTTTACTGATGAGTTTTTTTTGGTCTATAATACCCCCATTCCCCATTTTTTTGGTCACAATTCTATCCATTCTTCAAGAATCATCCCAAGTGACACCTTTTTCACAAAACCGTTCTAGAAGCATCTGACTTGATATAATCTCTCCATACTCTAAACTGCCATGGACTGAAAGAGAATGTGTGTGTGTGTGTGTACGTGTGTGTGTGTGTGTG